AATAATCCAACCAAAGTCATTTATCATTCCCTATACATCCAACGGATCATTTCCATGGAAGAATAGGGTATTCATCCCTCTTTGCTTCAACCCCTGCCTAATCATGAAATTCATTTTAATTACTATGATTATATGGCAGCATGGTCAACAATATTGTTACACCAAAATAAGTCATTCACTCATTCTTAATTTATCAATTTTGACAACAAATTCAAAAGTCAAATCCCAACTTGGTTTCTGAAATGGTGGTCACAACATGGAGCCATTCCAGAAATCCTTCCCCTCACTCTTGCAAAACAAGTTAAATATTTTCATACAGTTTACAAAGTCAACAAACATAATTCTCAATTCCCGATTCTTCTCCTCTTCTTTTGTAAGTACAAGGTCCCATGGATATTCAAATGGGAATATGATATCCAAAATAGTGTAACCATTCGACGACACTATGTCAAATGGTGGGACACTTTCAAGTTTGACAGAATTATAGGCTATATCAAAGATGAATACCCAAGACACATCCCTTCCTAAGTTATTATCATTCCAGCACAAGATCAAGTCATGAAACAAAGTAAGCCAGAAAAGTCCTCTTCTGTGAACACATCTCGATCCAGAAGGCCTCCCAATTCAGAAATAGCAGAACTTAAGGAATTAGCAGCATCCATCATTGACCGTATACAAGATGTCTCTGAAGAGGAAGAAGATGATAATAAAGTTAATGATGCATCTTCCGCTGCTAAATCAAGTCACCCAAGAGATCCGCATTCTGATCCTTTGTTCCAAGATAGCCAAGATCCATTTCAAATCTAAGGTTATCTCCAAAGAACAAGTCAAAGTTACTATTTGCTACAGTAAGTCAAAGTTACTATTTGCTACAGTACCTGTCGGCAGAAACACTATTTCTACAGTTCCCCGACAAAGTACTATTCATCTACAGTAACCGTCGGCACAAACGACAGGAACAGTAAATCACTATTCATCTATAGTCAGATGAATAGTGATTTACTGTTCCTGTCGTTTGTGCCGACGGTTACTGTAGATGAATAGTACTTTGTCGGGGAACTGTAGAAATAGTGTTTCTGCCGACAGGTACTGTAGCAAATAGTAACTTTGACTTACTGTAGCAAATAGTAACTTTGACTTGTTCTTTGGAGATAACCTTAGATTTGAAATGGATCTTGGCTATCTTGGAACAAAGGATCAGAATGCGGATCTCTTGGGTGACTTGATTCAGCAGCGGAAGATGCATCATCAACTTCATTATCATTTTCTTCCCCTTGGAAGAGATCTTGTATGCAGTTAATGATGGATGTTGCTAATTCTTTAAGTTCTACTATTTTTGAACTAGGAGGCCTTCTAGATCAAGATGTGTTCATAGAAAAGTACTTTTCTGGCTTACTTTGTTTCATGACTTGATCTTGTGCTTGAGTAACTAGAATAACTTGGGAAGGGATATGTCTTGGGTATTCAACTTCGACATAGCCTATAATTCTGTCAAACTTGAAAGTGTCCCACCATTTGACATAGTGTCGTCGAATGGCTACATTATTCTAGATATCATATTGCCATTTGAATATCCATGGACCTTGTACTTACAAGAAAAGATGAGAAGAATCGGGAATTGAGAATTATGTTTGTTGACTTTGTGAACTGTATGAAAATATTTAACCTGTTCTGCAAGAGTAAGGGGAAGGATTTCTAGAATGGCTCCATGTTGTGACCACCATTTCAAAAACCAAATTGGGATTTGACTTTCGAATTTGTTGTCAAAATTGATAAACCAAGAATGAGTGAATGACTCATTTTGGTGTAACAAGATTGTTGACCATGCTGCCATATAATCATAGTAATTTAAATGAATTTCATGATTAGGCAGGGGTTGAAATAAAGAGGGATGAATACCCCATTCTTCCGTGGAAATGATCCGTTGGATGTATAGGGAATGATAAATGACTTTGGTTGGATCATTGCAATCTGGGATTGACTTGATAAAAATGGAATTGGTATGGTAGAGAATGTCTCTATAGAAGGCTAGTGTCTTGTGTGGATGATTTGGGCAAAAATGAAGGTTACCTGGGAAATAGGATCTCATTAAGGTGATGGAATCCTTTATGTGACTAAGGTATGGTTCAATATAAAAAAAGGGGTACATAAGGTTTCTCAAAATAATCACTGGCTGACTTTTTTGGAATTGGACAGGAAGTTTGTTTAACTAGGCCTTAGGTTTGGAATGGATCTGGTGGGGGATTAACTAGGGCTGACTTGAAATTGGATGTTTTGTTATATTTATATATATATATATATATATATATATATGCAACAAAACCAAATCAAACTCCTTAAAATTTCTCCTAGTAATGATGTATTTGCTAAAATAAGTTAAGATTTTAATTTATATATTTTTTTTAATTTTTAATTATCAAGATTAATTATTAGTGATGCTGGTTCTTGATTTGTTGGATTTATAAATCTTTATTTTTATAAAAATTTGGACCGAAGGTGGTTTGATTTTTGTGAAAGTGTATAATTCATAAGAAAATTTGGACCGAAGGTGATTTGATTTTTGTGGAAGTGTTCAGTTCATATTATATATATATAGTATGTGGATGGTGATGCTTGCTGCCAGCTGAAGGTGGGAAAAGAAAAAGAAATGGTAAGAATTTTTGTGGGGTCCACTAAGAGATATTTAAGGAGTTTGATTTGATTTTGTTGCATATATATATATATATATATATATATATATAGTCTAATGGAGATAAGAAGGAATGAGAGCAGGTTGCCGAAAGTGGAGGGAGAAGGTATTAATTGAACGGGGCCCACTAAGAGATATTTTGCCAAAACTCTTTTGGCTTTGGCTATTATGCATGTGGCTTTATTGTTTATTTGAGAGGTAATATGTATTGAATCAGATGAATGGAGTGATAAGAGAAAATATAAGGTAAAAATCTATATTTGCATTTATATATTGAGTGTTTTGTGCACTGAGTGAGTATTCGAGAAAGAGATAAATAGAAGACACACAGAGCTGATATGGACAGAGAGAACCGAGAGTTCACATAGACTTTTCCTTATCCTTATCTTCATTTTGAACAAAATATCAACTGAGTCTCGCCACCCATTCTTCCCATTCCATATACAATACCTCTCAAAAGCCACGTGCATAAAAACCAAAGTCAAAAGCTTTTTGACAAAAAATCTCCTAGTGAGCAAGATCCATTTTGAACAAAATGAAATGTCTTACAATAAGAGATGATATTTTGTTCAAAATGAAATGATATTGTATGATATTAAGAGAATTTTTAACCATTGTTTATATTTTTTTGTATAAATATGATGTGTCATAATAGATTTACATAAATTTTAAATTATTTATTTTTAACTCAAACGGTTATTTTATACATTGTATAAAAATATAACCCTAATAACAATTAACCATTATTATGTCGAGACCCTACATAATTTTTACAAATCTACTTAATATAAGATTAATTTGTTAATGGAATGAGAAAGGAGGAGAAGAAAGGAAATATACTGATATGGCCGTGTAAAAAAGTTGTGTAAAATGCACAATAATTTTACACATTGATAACTTGATAACGTATCTTAATAGACTGTTGAACATAATACGTTATAAGTAGTAATATATATTTTACACAAAAAAAAATATTTTAACGTTGGAGATGCTCGTTGGTTAGTTTATATAGGACAAAAGAATGGAGATAAGAAGGAAATGTGAAATGTGAGCAGGTTGGCTGAAATTAGTGGGGGAAGAAAGAAAGAAAATTTGTGATGATGGTGCGGGTTCAACTGGGAGAACCCGCCATCATCATCACAATTTATCATTATTTTTTTTTTCTCCTTCTACTTTCAGCCAGCCCACTCTTTATTCTTTGGGCTTATTCACATGGGTTGCCTACCCAAAAATCTTGGCTTATTCACGTGGGTTGTCTGACGTTTTGAGAGAGAGATTGTATTTGGTTGTGATTGAAGAAGGTAAGGAAATGAAGGCTTAGAAGGAAAGGGTGGCTGGACCCGGTGGATTTTTTGTTCAAAATTGAGATGATATTGTTTTTGTCGGTGGGATTACCTTTATATTTGTATCTGATTTGTGGTTTTGGTGAGGAAGCAAATAAAGAATTACTAGCATTTAATTGGACCTGAATTTTGGGGACAGAATTCTTTTTATGTGATGGAGGATGTGATAACCGAAATTTGTAAAATTTTAATTTATATTTGTTTCTACTATTTTTTATTATCAAAATTGATTATGGGAGATACTGGGCTGTTAGGTGGCGAAATTCAACAATGGGCTTAAGTGTGTTAGATATAGATATGTCAGTGGGAGCATAGCTTATATAAGATTGGGTTTTGTTAAAGTACATATTATATATATATATATAGCCAAAAGAATTTTTATCAAAAATCTTCTAGTAAGACCTGCAACCATTGTGTGTATATATTACATATATATATATATATATATATATATATATAAAATGCTGATGGAATGATGGAAAGAATTAATAAGAATAAGGAGTGGGCTGGCCGAAAGTAGAAACAAAAGAGAAAAGAAATAATGATAAATTGTTATGTTGGTAGGAAGTCCCACTAGAAGATTTTTGGACACAAAATTTTTTGGCTCTGGTATTCACCTGGGGTTTGTATGTTTTGGAGAGATATTTATTTGTTAGGTAATGATGGAAGATAAGGAAGAGTAAAGAAAGGGAGGCGGAACCGGTTAATTTTTTTTTTTTTTTTTTTTTTTTGTTTTTTTCAAAATGAGATGATATTGTCGGATGGACGCGTGAGCATTAAGATATATTGTGTCAGTGGAATTGCCTTTATATATTTATCTATTTTGTGACTTTGGTGAATACAGAAGAGAAAAATAGAGGAGAGACACCGAGGAGTGAGCACAGATAGAGCCGAGATGGACAGATCCGAGACTTGGAGACTTTGATCCAGTGAGTTTCTCAAATAAATATACAAAATTTCTAAATAAATAAAATAAATTCGTAACACCAACTCTTCCACTTAAATTCAAAACTAACAATTCACGTTCATTCTTAATACCTGAAACTAGAGGGTGGTGAGATGACAACTCTCTGTAAAAAAAAATAAGAAAAATCATAACAAAAATTTCAAGCAGGTTTACAAAATATAGATATGTATTTAAACAAAATACATATGCAATTTGAGCAAAATAACAATCCTAAAATATTTGAGATAAAATCACGCAATTCATTCAAATTATAAAGAATCTTACTCTAAAAAAGAATTATCCTTACTGAATCATCAAAGTCACAAATCTCGGCACTCTCTCTCTCTCTGCATCTCGGCTCTGAGTCTTTCCTAAATTTTTCTTTCTTTCTTTGTATACTTAACCATAGTCACAAAGCACTCAATATATAGGCAACTAACACCCAACAAATACCAACCAACAATTATCAATTCAATTACTCAAGACAATAACCATTAGTGGATCCACCATTACCCCCTTTTCCTTATTATGTTTTTTTGAATCTGAAGGATGAAGGTGCCAAGAAGAAGGTGACGGGGTCTACTATTAATATTTTGATCTTTAATATTTTATATGCTGAGCTGTCATGTGAAGTGTGTCGGTGAATATTACCTTATATGTATTGGTATCTGTTTGGTGTTCTTGACGATTAAAAATGATGAAAATAAATATAAAATTAAAATATAATTAAAAATGGTCCAAATTACATAATGGTATTTGAATTGAGGAATTTCAAATACATTCTGTAATTTGAAATAAATCAAATACATATTATCGCCACATGCATAATAGTTAAAGTCAAAAGAGTTTTGACAAGATATCTCGGCCCGCCTAATCAATACCTTTTCTCTTCACTTTCAGGTGCTCTCATTCCTTCTTATCTTTATCAGGAAATATATATATTTATGATCATTACTAACATCAAATCAAACTCCTTAAATATCTTTTAGTAATTATGTATTTATTAAAATAAGCTAAGATTTTAATTTATATTTATTTTTAATTGTCGAGATTAATTATTAGTGATGTTAGATTTGTTAGATTTGTAAATCTTTATTTTTATGAAAATTTGGACGGTAGATGGTTTGATTTTTGTATAAGTGTATAGTTCATAAGAAAATTTGGACGGAAGGCGATTTGATTTTTGTGGAAGTGCATAGTTCATATTATATATATATATATATATATATATATATATAGCATGTTGATGGTGATGCTTGCTACCAGCTAAAAGGGCAAAAAGAAAAAGGAATGGTAAGGATTTTAGTGGGGTCTATTAAGAAATATTTAAAGAGTTTGATTTGATTTTGTTATATTATATATATATATATATATATATATATATATAGTGTGATGAAGATAAGAAAGAATGAGAGCAAGTTGTTGAAGATGTGGAGAGAAAAAGTATTGATTGGCGAGACTTACTAAGATATATTTTACCAAATAAAATAAAAATTTATGATGAAGATAAGAAAGAATGAGAGCAAGTTGTTGAAGATGTGGAGAGAAAAAGTATTGATTGGCGAGACTTACTAAGATATATTTTACCAAATAAAATAAAAATTTATATATATATATTTTGTGAAGTTAATTTTCATGAAATCTACTGATTTCATACTAATTTGCATTTATATATTGAGTGTTTTGTGCACAAAGAAAGAGATAAATAGAGGACACACAGGACCGAGAGTTCACATATACTTTTCCTTATCCTTTATCTTCTTTTTGAACAAAACATCAACTGGTCCCACCACCCATTCTTTCTTTACATTACTATTCCTTATCCTAGCCTTCAATCATCTGATTTATCTCTTTAAATGCCAAAGAAGGAAAGGGTTCACATATACAATACCTCTCAAATGCCAAAGAAGGAAAGGGTTCACATATACAATACCTCTCAAATGCCAAAGAAGGAAAGGGTGGCACGACTCAGTAGATATTTTGTGTCAGTGGGATTGCCTTTATATATTTGTATCTGATAAAGAATTATTAAATTGGATCTGAATTTTATGGACCAAATTTTTTTTAATGTGATGGAGGATGTTATAATTTAAATTTTTAAAATTTTAATTTATATTTATTTTTACTATTTTTTATTGTCAAAATTGATTATCGGAAATATTGGGCTATTCGGTGGCGAAATTCAATAATGGGCTTAAGTGTGTTAGGCATAAATATGTGAGAGACATAGATGTGTTAGTGGGAGTATAGTTTATATACAATTTGGCTTTGTTTTATATATATATATATATATATATATATATATATATAGTCAAAAAAAATTTGGTCAAAAATCTCCTAGTGGGACCCGCCACCATCATCGTGTGTGTAATGCTAATGGAATGATAGACAGAGGTGAAAAGAAGAAATAATGAGTGGGCTGGTCCAAAGTAGAAATAATGATAAATTGTGATGATTGTGGCGGGACCCACTAGAAGATTTTTGGCCAAAATTTTTTTTTGACATTCATTTGGGCTTATATGGAGAAAGATTTATTTGTTAGGTGATGATGGATTATGGAAGATAATGAAGAGTAAAGAAAGGGTGTCAGAACCAGTTGATTGTTTTTTTGGTTCAAAATGAGATGATATTGTTTGATGGAGGCGTGAGCTATAAGATATATTGTGTGGATGGAATTCCCTTTATATATTCATCTGTTTTGTGACTTTGGTGGATACAGAAGAGAAAATTAGAGGAAAGATACAGAGGAGTGAGCACAGATAGAGCCGAGATGGACAGAGGAGGCCGAGACTTGGAAACTTTATACAGTGAGTTTTTCAAATAAATATATACAAAATCTCTAAATAAATAAAATAAATTCGTAACACCAACTCTTCCACTTAAGCTCGAAACTAACAATCTATATTCATTCTCGGGTACCTGAAACTGATGGGTGAGAAGTCTAGTAAGAAAAATCATAACAAAAATTTCAAGAAGATTTCATAAAATGCAATTTGAACAAAATAACTATAATAAAATATTTGAGATAAAATCACTCCAAGCAACTTAGTATAAAGAACCCTACCTGAAAAAGAATTATCCTCGCTTAATCATCAAAGCCACAAGTCTCGATCCTCTCTCTATGCATCAAGACTCTCTGTATCTTTCCTCAATTTTTCTTTCTTTCTTTGTATTCTTGCCATACTTACAAAGCACTCAATATATAGGCAATTCCACAAAAATCAACCAACAATTATCAATTCAATTACTTAAGACAATAAGCGGACCCCGCCACTACCTTCCTCCTCCTCATTATTTTTTTGAATTATGATTGAAGGCGTTAAGAAAAAAATGACCGGGTCCATTATTGATATTTTGATCTTTCATATTTTATATTAGTATGGGGTCCACTATTGATATTTTGATCTTTCATATTTTATATTAGTATGGTGAACTATTGTGTGAAGTGTGCCCGTGCATATTATCTATATGTATTGGTATCTGTTTGGCGTTCTTGGTATTCAAAAATGATGAAAATAAATATAAAATTAAAATGTTATTAAAAATGGTTCAAAATTACATAATGGTATTTGAATTGAGGAATTTTAAATACATTCTCTAATTTGAAATAAATCAGTCGGGTTGTCACATTTCGACTCTGATCACATTCTAAACCCACATATATACTTTTTTTTATAAAATCACTATCAGTATTTCTATTTTTTAAATTTAATATTTATCAATACAATTAATTATAACAATAAAAGGTAACTGCTAAAAATAAATAAAAATAGAATTCTCTTCACTTCTCGAAATCACGTCTCACTACTAATTGGAAATTTTTTTCTTTAAATTTTTTTTATAAGTGTTAGAAAATTGCATTCATGACTTGATACTAAAGCTGACATTGCCCATTTGTTTGAGTGTGAAAAAGAAATTAAAAAAAAATTATAAGTGTTAGAAAATTGTATTCATGACTTGATATTAAAATTAATATTGCTCATTTATTTGAGTGTGAAAAAGAAATTAAAAATTACCCTATTGCATACAAAACAATGAAACATCGACTAAAAAATAATAAAAAATTAAAAATTAAATCTCTATTTTTCTATCCACTTGATCAACTTAAAGTAATTTGTGATTTGCACAACACTTCACTTATCAAAAATTTAATAAATTACTATTTAAATTATTGTATATCTCCCTAAATTCATGCTATTTAAAAATTAAAAATTCAATCTATTTTCCTCTAACTCTCACAAATTGTCTCTATCTTTTTTATTTATTTTATTTTATTTTATTTTAAATTCTAACTAATTATAAATACATTCTAATTACTTTAAGACAATAAACTATTAGTGGACCTGCCACTACCTCCTTTACCTTATCTTTTCCCTTATCACTTTATTCATTTGATTCTATACACATTAGCACCACATGCGCAATAGTCAAAGTTAAAAGAGTTTTGATAAAATATCTCTTAATGGACCTGCCCAATCAATACCTTTTCTCTATACTTTTGACAGCCTGCTGTCATTCCTTCTTAGCTCCATTAGAAGATATATATAGTTTAAGAAATTTGATTTAGTTTTGTTGTATATAAATATATATATATATAAAGAGCTCGCCCAATCAATACCTTTTCCCTACACTTTCGACAACATGCTCTCATTCCTTCTTAGCTCCATTAGAAGATTTATATAGTTTAAGGAGTTTGATTTAGTTTTTGTATATATAACTAAATCAAACTCCTTAAATATTTCTTAATAATGATGTATTTGTTAAAATAAGCTAAGATTTTAATTTATATTTATTTTTATCATTTTTAATTGTCAAGATTATTTATTAGTGATGTTGGGTCTTGATTTGTTGGATTTGTAAATCTTTATTTTTATGAAAATTTGGTCCGAAAGTGGTTTGATTTTTGTGGAAGTATATAGCTCATATGAAAATTTGGACCGAAAGTGGTTTGATTTTTTGTGGAAGTGTATAGTTCATATGAAAATTTGGACAGAAGGTGATTTGATTTTTGTGAAAGTGTATAGTTCATATTATATATATATATATATATATATATATATAGTATTGTGATGGTGATGCTTGCTGCCAACGGAAGGAGGAAAAAAAACAAAGAAGAAAGAAATAGTAAGGATTTTTGTGAGATTCATTAAAAAAATATTTAAAGAATTTGATTTGGTTTTGTTGTGTGTGTGTGTGTGTGTATATGTATTATGATGGATATAAGAAGGAATGAGAGCTGGTTGCTTTGAGTGAGAGATAAAGTATTAATTGGGCGGGACCCATTAAGAAATATTTTGTTAAAATTTTTTAACTTTGACTATTAAGCATGAAACTTTATTATTTATTTGAGAGATAATGTGTATAGAATTAGATGACTAAAAAAACAATAAGGTAAAAATCTCTTTTTTATGAAACCTCTTTTTTTTGTTATGATTTTTCTAACTGATTTGCATTTATATATTAAGTGTTTTGTGAACTGGAGTGAATACTCAGAGAGAGATAAATAGAGGACGCACGCAAAATCGAGAAGAACAGAGAGAACCGAGAGTTCCCAGAGACTTTTCAATATCAATGGGTCGGCCATCCATTCTTACTTTACTTTACTCTACTTATCCATTCTTCATTCTACATTATCCATATCTTTATTCATCTGATTTCATATACAATACCTTTCAAAACTAACGTGCATCACAGCCAAAGTCAAAAAAAATTTGACAAAAAATTTCCTAATGAGCCGAAATGGACAGAGAGATCCATTTTGAACAAAATGAGATGCCATACAGTAAGAGATGATATTATGTCTAAAATGAGATGATGTCGTATGATATTAAGAGAATTATTTTTAACCGTTATGTATATTTTTTTTTAATATAAATATTATGTGTTATAATAAATTTAATTATTTATTTTAAATTCCAGCTATTGTTTTATATTTTGTGTAAAAATATAACCCTAATAACAACTAATTATTATTTTGTTAATTTCTACAAACCTAAGGTTAATTTATTAATGGAATGAGAAACAAGGAGGAGAAAAGAAAATATACTGAAGTAGTCGTGTAAAAAAATTGTATAAAATATACAATAAATTTACACATTGATAATTTAATAGTGTATCTTAACAAATAGAAATAAAAAATAAAAAAAAGTATATTTTACACAAAAAATATATTTTAACCTAGCGCTCGATATGTGAAGATGGTGCGAGTCCGCTGGGAGATATATTTTTGGCCAAAAAACTTAGGCTTATTCACGTGGAATTGCCTTTATATATTTGTATCTGATTTGTAATTTTGGTGAGGAAGCAAATAAAGAATTATTTAATTGGATTTAAATTTTAAGGACAAAATTTTTTTAATGTGGGGTAGGATGTAATAACCTAAATTTTTAAAATTTTAATTTATATCTATTTTTACTATTTTTTATTGTCAAAATTGATTATAGGAGATATTGGACTGTTAGGTGGCGAAATTCAATAATCGGCTTAAGTGTGTTAGATATAGATATGTCAGTGGGTGTATAGTTTATATAAGATTTGGTTTTGTTATCTTTCTTATCTTCCATCATTACCTAACAAATAAATATCTATTCAAAATATAAAAACCCACGTGAATATCAAAGCTAAAAAAAAATTTGAGTCAAAAATCTTATAGTGAAATCCGTCATCGTCATCACAATATATATAATGCTCATTATAATATATATAATATGAAATGCTGGAAAGAAGGAATAAGGATGATCGCTATATAGTCCATTATTAGACTTATTTTTTTTAATTAACTAATTATACAACAAATAAAAAAATAAAATCCTATATTTAATATAAATAATTAATTAAAAATTACCTGATTACACAATTCATTATGCTAATGGAATGATGGATGTAAAGAAGGAATAAGGAGTGTGCTGGCTCAAAGTAGAAAGAAAAGAGAAAAGAAATAATAATAAATTGTGAGGATTGTGGTGGGTCTATTAAAAGATTTTTGGACAAAAATTCTTTTGACTTTGGCATTCACGTGAGTTGGTATGTTTGTATGTTTGTGTGAGATATTCATTTGTTAGGTGATGATAGGTATGTTTGTGTGAGATATTCATTTGTTAGGTGATGATAGAAGATAAGGAAGATTAAAGAAAGGGCGGGACCCAATTAATTAAATTTTTTTTTTTTTTTTTTTTTTTGTTCGTTCGTTCGTTCAAAATGAGATGCTACTGTCTGATGGAGGCATGAGCAGTAAGATATATTGTGCAGGTGGAATTGTCTTTATATGTTTATCTGTTTTGTGACTTTGGTGGATACAGATGAGAAAAATAGAGGAATGAAACAGAGGAGTGAGCAAAGATAGACTCGAGATGGACAAAGGAGGCGGAGACTTGGAGACTTTGATCAAGTGAGTTCCTTGAATAAATATACAAAATTTCTAAATAAATAAAATAAATATGCAACACCAATTCCTAAACCCGAAACTAGCAATCTGGTGAGACGGGAAGTCTAATAAGAAAAATCATAACAACAAGAATTTTAAGAAGGTTTCATAAAAATTAATTTCACAAAATATAAATATGTTTTTAAACAAAAATACATATATACAATTTAAATAAAATAAAAATAATAAAATATTTAAAATAAAATCACCCCAAACGACTAAGTATAAAAAATCCTACCTGAAAAAAAATTATCCTCGCTGAAACATCAAAGCGACAAGTCTCGGCCCTCTTTCTGTGCATCTCGGCTCTCCATATTTTTCCTCAATTTTTCTTTGTATGCTATAGTCACAACGCACTCGATACATAGGCAACTCCACCTACACCCAACAAATATCAACCAACAATTATCAATTCAATTACTTAAGACAATAACTATTAGTGGACCCCGCCATTACCCTTTTCCTTATTATATTTTTGCATCAGATGAATGCCGGTGGGGCGGGGATAAGAAGAAAGTGGCGGGTCCATTATTAATATTTTGTGTGGAGTGTGTGGGTAGATATTACCTATATGTATTGGTTTCAGTGCGGTGCTCTTGACAATTAAAAATAATGAAAATAAATATAAAATTAAAATATAATTAAAAATGGTTCAAAATTACATAATGGTATTTAAATTGAGGAATTTCAAATACATTTGCAATTTGAAATAAATCAGCCGGGTTGTCACATCCTGACTCTGATCATATTCTAAACTCGCCTATATATTTTTCTTTTAATACAAAATCACTCTTACTATTTTTAATTTTCAAACAATTAATTATAATAATAAAAGATAAGTACTAAAAAAAAATAAAAATAGAAATCTCTTCACCTCTCCAAATCATGTCTCATTACTAATTGAAAAAAAAAAAAAAATCTTTAGAAAAAAATTA